GATGTGTTTTTAGTCGTTTCTTGAAGATGGTTAAGGAGGACTCAGATGGTTAAGGACTTATATACAAGTATACTACTAGTACATTGGTAGTATACTTACTGCAAAGTACGTTTAGAAGATATACTTGAACTTTACTTAATAAAATTAACTTTTAAGTTCATAAGTTAAATTAAATATACTTCAATTTGTAAGGGGTCCTACACATCCCCTCTTTACCATGTGCCTCAATCATATGCAGGCTGATAAGACACTAAAATGTACACACCTACAGACATGCCACCCATCCTCTAAAACAAGCTCATTAGTTGTGTCCCAAATGACGTATTATACACTATGCACTTATAAACTATGCAATTATGCACTATGTACTTAACTGTACCGTGCATTAATTTTATAAGGTTATTTTGTCATTCATAATTGGAGTCTGATAGTCCCTCCCACTCTAAGATGTAATTAAACTTGCAACAGTTGAGTGCATGAAGTGTTCAACATTCCAATTTTTTTTTTCTTTCTGTTATTTAAGTGCATCATCCGGGTATTTACAGTACACGTGTTCTGGGGCATTGCGGCAGTCATGGCCTAATGGTTAGAGAGTCAGACTTGTAACCCGAAGATTGACGGGTTCGCGTCTCAGGTCTGGCAGGAATTGTCGGTGAGGGTGAGTGAATAACCAGTGCTTTCTTCTATCCTCAATACCACGACTGAGGTGAGACCCTTGAGCAAGGCACCGAACCCCCAAGTGCTCCCCGGGCGCTGCAGCAAAAAATGGCTGCCCATTGCTCTGGGTGTGTGTTCACACGGTGTGTGTGTGTGTGTTCACTGCTGGGTGTGTGCACTTGGATGGGTTAAATGCAGAGCACAGATTCCGAGTATGGGTCACCATACTTAGCCACACGTGACTTCACTTTCACTTTTTTCACGTTCTTTTTGGAATTTTCAGTGTGAACGCACTACTTGCACTTCTATACTACAAAATGGCATAGAATAGTGCATAAGTATATGCGAACTGGGACGCACCTATTAAAAAAAATGTCTAATGCTTTGGGATCAGTTCATTCTCTGATGACTCAATGTCCAGAGCTCAAAATATTAAAGAATTCATTTGGCATTTCTTCTGGCATCACCATCATTGGTGATGGTCATTGAGAAGTCAGGAATTTGAGGAAAAGATATGTCACATTCATCTGCTGTATGTTGAATATTTGATTATAGCAACTGACTTGCCAAACAATCATTGTTTCATTGTTCTCCTGCGCTGACACACTTTTCTGATTCTGAATTTCAGAGGGATACCCGAACAATTACAACAATTGTAATAGACAAAATATGGACGCAAATAACAGATTAGTGAAGATTCAAGGATTATCCCAAAACATTATGTAAAAAAAAAAAAAAATGGATTACACCAAAAACACAGTCCTCAAAATGTCTATGTGTTTTCATAAATCTCAGAAATCACATAGCAAATAGGTGAGCAATGGTCATACCTTGCGTATGCCTTCAGATGGGCTAGAAACTGAGAAGTCCTGTCCATTGTTTTTGCTGATTGTCCTCCACAGCTCTGCATATGTGCTGTCCTGCTCCAGTGGGTTTGTACCTTTGGCTCTGAAGTAATCATACACCGCTGAGTCCCTAACGGTGCCGTAGGCATAGTCCATCTGCCTTGCAAGATCCTGAAATGTTCTGTTGGATAGATAGACAAGATCATGTAAAAATGTTTTAAAAAGATCAGGTAAAAAGTTTAATAATCATGATTAGTGTTTGTTCCAATCTCTCACCTTACATTATGAGCAATAGATGTAATTAATTAAGAAAGACTGAGAGACACTTGAAATGTACATGGGATGCTTACAGTTTAAGTGGAATAGCACACCATATTAGTGAAAGTATAAATCCTTTAGTTTAAATGTGCTCATGTGAACAGGCTGTTGTATTTTGTTTGTTCTGAGGATAAAGAATAAACTTTCTTTTCCTCTCCTGAATTCCTTCACAACTTGTAACGTTCTAAATCAACATTTAGATGTAATACATACTTGCATCTGAATTTATGGTATGCATTCTAAGATAACATTTAATGCGTGTATGTACTTAAATCCTGTCAATAAACATCAGAGCACCACCCTGTGGCTGAATAAGGCAAGGACAATAGACCACTGCCAAAAATTTGTGTGCATATGTTCAGCAATTACAATACAAAACTTACAAGAGATATATCACAAGCTAAAAAAAAAAAAAAGTATACTTCTTCTTTGTGAGGGTGGTTCTAAATAAAAACCATGGCTCCCAACCCTAGTTACAATGTTTGACTGTATACTAATTGTCATTGGGCATACTGCTGTAGCTTAAAGTGTTAGTTCACCCAAAAATAAAAATTAGTCCATAAATTACTCACCCTCAAGTCATCCTAGGTGTATATGACTTTCTTCTTTCACCAGGGGGTAAACAAAGGCCTTCTGTAGCGAATCGATGCGTTTTTGTAAGAAAAATATCCATATTCAAAACGTAATAATCACTTTAATGTAGCTTGCGCCAACAGTTGTACACAGCAGTTCCGGGCTGATGACGTATGAGGTCAGCGCTGCACATGCGCCGGTGAGTCTCGTGAAAACCAACGTTTGTTAACAGGAGCAAAGGAAGCAAAGTGTCCTTACTTTAGCAAAGGAAAACCAGTCTCCTCTTGGCTTATATCGGAATCCTCCGACATTCTTCTTTACAAATCCTCATTTTGTACTTCTAATTAGTGAGCGTTGTTTTCTTTTGATCTCTCCTCTGCGCATGCGCAAAGCCGACCTCCATACGTCATCTGCCCGGATCTGCCTCCGTGTACAACAATGAGCGCAAGCTACATTAAAGTGATTATTACGTTTTGAATATGGATATTTTTCTTACAAAAACGCATCGATTCGCTACAGAAGGCCTTTGTTCACACCCCGGAGCCGTGTGAGACACTTTTTTTTATGGATGGGCGCTTTTTATTTAACTTATTTTGAACTGATGCATGCAATACCCACTGAGTGCCATGAAACAGCTTGAAAGATCAAAGACAATTTTTAATATACCTCCGACTGGATTTGTCTGAAAGAAGAAAGTCATATACACATAGGATGACTTGAGGGTGAGTAATTTATGGGCTAATTTTCATTTTTTGAGTGAACTAACACTTTAACACTTTGCTCCATAAAGTTTAATGAATTGGGAATGATTCAAAGAATTCACATCATTATAACACATGCCTATTTGAATGTCTATCACTACTACACTTGATTCTGTCCATCTGCAGACTTTGTTTACAAACGAATAGTGGGAAAAAAAACTTTATGCAAATAGAGTTTGTTCTTTGAAGTTTTCAAGCAAAGTTCTATTTGTACCTGTTCTGTGTGTGGGTGTAATGTTTCAGATATGTCATTGCTGAGGCCTTCGAGCAGGTCTTGAGAATGATGGGCAGTATTTCATATGCATGTATTCAAAAATATATATTTGAAATACAAAATACTATTTTGTACTATGTATTTTACAGTCTTTAAAATATATAGCTAATTACATTTAAGTATGGTATTTGTGCAAGTTAGCTTGTTTATTAGGCTGCTGATTTCCTGTATCACCTACTGTAATTCAGGCATGTCACTCAATCCCAACTTTTAAGTACACAAAATGCAGATGTCAGACAGAATAGCTCCATCTATATTTTTGTGCATTTGTTCCCATATGTGGTCTTGAGTTATGCAATCACACATTAAGTAAGCTGTACAAGAGATGTTCTGCATGACCATGGTTTCAGAAAATGTATTGAACAGGAAAAAGATGGCTCATTTTCACTAATTGCCCCATGAGGAGATGAGGATTGGGGATGGAATAATCTTACACTTGAGCAAAGAAACACAGGAGCATCCTTCAGTATGTGGAAGTTATGATCAGGGTCGGGAGTAATGAAAGACATGTAATGCCATTACGTATTTAAAATACATAACTGAATTCCATTACAGTTACATTTTAAATAAGTGGTAATCAAATTACAGTTATATCCAAAAAGTATTTTAGATTAACAAAGTGATTACTTTGAATTTTAATGTCATTTATCTCATTTAATATTAATGTAAAAAGAAAAAAATGTAATCTCTCTCTCTCTCTCTTTCAGGGAAAAGGAAGGGAAAATCAGATTTCAGCCTAATAGTGATACTTTAATGAATTAACAATTTTACATTTATTTTGTATAAGATACAAAATACATGTATTACTGGAGTAAGTAAGTAAACCATAGGCACTGTAGCATGATGTCATATTCATTATACAACTGTGTTTCTTGAAGGCAAGAATCACATTAAGGCCCAAACTTAAAATCCATGGTCCACCACTGTTAGAAAAAAGTTTAAAACATAATAAAAGCAAAAACACTGGCTCGACTGACTCAACCTAAAGTTGCCTGAATTTATCATGTTAATGGTGCACAGTATTCATCCAGAATTCAGCCAGTATACATCAACAGGACAGGGACCTAACTTGGCAAGAGCTAACTTTAAAGTCCAAAAACAGCTCTGTAAGTTATGTGAGATGTTGGGCCATCTGTACTGCTAATGGAGCTGTCAGGCCCAGCCGATGAAACATAAGCCAGTGAAAAGAAACGTTTCACTCTTTAATGCCAGTTTGCTTGTCAGTGTACTGTGAGTAAGTGTTTTCCTGATTTAGAGCTGGCATACAACAACTAGGTTTGTTCATTTAATTGTCAGATTATTATTGGGGGCCAAGCACCGAAGGTACTCTTGAGTCTATGGCAGCCCATAGAACCGCTTGCAAGAAAGTAATGAAATTTGGCACACTGATAGAGCACAGTCTGAATAGTCACCATAGCAAATTTGGAGTTTCTAACGCAAACTCTCTAGCGCCACCACTTGTCCAAATTTTCACTCATGTTTATGCTAATAACTTTTGAACCGTAAGGCATAGAAGGAAAATTCGAGCCTTGGCTCATGTCGAGTCGAATGAACTCCAAAATTTAAAAATCATAAGGTTTAGTTTTTTCGCTATTTTTAATAGTTTGAAAAACTTACTTTTTCGAACTCGTCCTTGACGGTTTGTCTGATTTTCACCAAAATTGTCTCAGACCATGCTGGCAAAAAGTTATGGAATTCAAGTTGATTTGTCCCACCTTTCTCGAATAACATGCCAACAAATTCTACAAAAAGCATGCAAAAATGGATGTGAGGCTATGTCTCCGCAACGGTTTGGCATATTGAGACCAAACTTGGTGTGTGTTATAACAAGCATGACCTGAGGCTACCTGCAGTGTTTCGGCGCAGTGCCACCTAGTGGTCAGGAGATACGAAAAATAGCTATTTTTGCTTATAACTTCTGAATGGTTTGACCAAAAGTCACAAAACTAGTCTCTTTAGATTCGGTGAAGCATGCCGAGTCGAACCATATCCAATTTTCCCATATCGGCCATTTTGGGCATCGGCCATTTTGATTTTTGTCATAAAATGCTATAATTTACGAACGCATTGATGTATCGTTACAAAACTTGGTATGCATCTTAGACAGTTTGGGGGCAGCGCCACTTGTGGTAAAAAGTTATAATGAAATTTCTAAAAATGCTAATAACTTTTGCTTACATTAGCCTATTGTAATGGGACTGATGTTGATATATTCCTTGGATCATGCCGGGAACATCGATACCAATTTTACCATAATTGACTGAACTTCCTGTTCGCCATTTTGATTTATGTTGAAAAACTACTTTTTCGAACTCCTCCTAGACCGTCAGTCTGATTTTCATCAAATTCAACTCGGATCATCTTCATACCATGCTGACAAAAAAGTTCTGGATTTTGTGTCGATATACTAAACGGTTCTCGTTTAGCGCATTAACGGATTTGCAGGAAAGATGCCAAACTGCATCTGAGGGCTGTATCTCTGCAAAGCTTTGACATATTTACATCAAACTTTATATGTGCCATTATCACCTCAAACTGACTATGCCACATCAATTTGGTAACAGTGACACCTATTGGTCAAGAGTAATAAACCATTCATTAACCATTAATAATTATATTTCCAAAACTGCTAATACCTTTTGATTGCATTAGCCTATTGTAATGAAACTGGTCTCAAAATATTCCTTGGCTCATGCCGACAACATCGATAGCAAATATGCCATAGTACGCTAAACTTTCTGTCCAACATTTTGATTTATGTTGAAAACTTTTTCAAACTCCTCATCAACCGTTGGTCCGATTTTCACCTAAATCGAGTCAAATCATTTTCAAACTGTGCTGACAAAAATTTATGGATTTCGTGTCGATACACGAAACCGTTTTTGTATAGTGCTACAACAAATTTGAGGCATGATGCCAAACTGCATCTGAGGCTGTATCTTTGCAAAGCTTTGACATATTAACACCAAACTCTGTGTGTGCCATTGTCAACTCACACAGAACACACCACATCGATTTGCTAACAGCGCCACCTATTGGTCAAAAGTGATAATTCCTTAAGGCATATTACTAGTGGTTATATTTATGATTTTTCGGCCATTTCAACTACAATCATTCTAAAACAGCTTTAATTACTCTTGCAGTTGGTCTGATGCTATATGCCATGCTTAGCTTCTCATTTTGCCTCTGCTGTGCTTGGCCCCGTAATTGCTGCTTGCAGCTATATTTATTATTATTATTATTATTATTATTATT